GGGGGGGGGGGGGGTGTGGGGGTGAGTGGGGGTGGGTGGGGGTGGGGTATGGGTGTTATTTCCATCTACGGACCCGCAACCACACCCACATAAACATCCACACCTACACCCACATCCACCCACACCCATCCACACCTACACCCTGTTATTCTTATTCACTGACAAGTTATCCTTCAAAATCTCTTTGGGATAGTGTGTGTATATTTTTTCGATAGCTTTTTTTTGCAATTATATTTTTACTATCATCATTAATATCGTCTATAAGTAACTTTTTTTATCAGCTGTACATATATGGATAAGCGAAGTTGAATATGTAGATACGAAAGGAAAGGAAAAGACGACAGAATGGAAAAAAATATTTAGAGAGATATAGACAGAACGAAAAGAATAGCTGTTTTCACTGAGAAATCGTATTTTAAAAATTTTTGCTGGGGACTTGGGAATACCCATTCGAGATAATTACGGACTTTTGCTCAAATTTTTACGCTCTTTCCAACAATATAATTTGTATGGGGTCGGCACGAAATAAAATTTTTTGACCCAGTTGATATGAATATTCTAAACTCGATTTTTTTTCTATGATAATTTAGAGTTTTCCTTGGATATTAAATGAAGGTGAAATAAATCCAAGTACTACAATTATTTTTACTGATTATGATGATCCAGCACAAAGTAATAAAATACCATTTCGTGTTGAAATTTTAAGTCCATCAAATTTTACATTATCTGGTCCAACATTAAATTATGTTGGAGGATATCAATTAACATATAATGGTATATTAAATACATATCCAATATCAGATGGTTTTAAAACAATAAATGTACTTTATGTTAGTGGTTATATGAATTCATTACGAAATGTTTCACTTGGTTCAATATATGTTAATGATTTAGATGATTGATTTTGTACAAGTCGAACATATTTCATTCGTGATGTTAGTAATGGACAATTATTTAGTGCTTCACAAGGTTTTCTAAGTACACCTGACGCACTTTATCCAGGTTCATATACAATACATGTTGATGTAACGAAACCTATAGCATCATCAACAGATTTAAGTACAATTGATCTTTCAGTTACAAGTATTTATGGTGAATTTGTTCGACAAGCAGCAACAATTTGTGTTCAAGGTAATGATTTATATATATATATATATATAAAAGAATAGGTCGGAATCCAAGAAACTAAAACAAAAACTTGCTCCCATACATCTGTACTATCCTTTTCAAAATAGAAGGCGAGTGATTGTGAATCGAATAAGTCGAGAACGGAAACAGCTATGGCGCTGCAGTTTTCACCATTAAAAAGCGGACACTGGGACACGTAAACATATGAAAACATTTCATTTGTCAGTAATGGATCAACAGAATGAAAGACAGCTTTTGGAATGCTTTTTTCGTTGAATTTTGAACTTCAATTAAATCATTCGAGAGAAAAAATTCTTCTCTTTCGATCTATACAAGGCCGAGATCGATAGTTTGCTCCATTCGGTACCTATAAGCATTTTCCTGAGATCTCCGAAATCGGCCAGGTGATTGCGGAACCACTCTTAAACGCATTACATTATAGGCAATCGACTACGCTGAATTCAATGGTAATGTTTGATTTTCATTTCAAAGTAATCTGAAATTATGAAAATAGTTTTGCTGCTATTTGACTTAAAGAATACATATTTTGAAAATCTCGATACAGTGATCTCAAATTACTTTGAAATGGAAAATAAACATCACCACTGAATTCAGCGTAATCGACTATTTATAATGTAATGGTTTTAAGAGTGATTCCGCAATCACCTGGCCAATTTCGGGACTCTCAGAAAAATGCTTATAGCTACTGAATGGAGCAAGCTATCGATCTCGGCCTTGTGGAGATCGAAAGAGGAGAATTTTTTTCTATCGAATGATTTAATTAAAGTTCAAAATTCAACAAAAAAAGCGTTCCAAAAGCTGTCTTTCATCCTATTGATCCATTACTGACCAATGAAATTTTTCCATAGATACACATGTTCCGGCGTGAATCCCACAGCTCCATAGCTGCTTCTTTTCCCGAGTTATTCGACTCGCAATTACTCGCCTTCTATTTTAAAATGGACAGTAATACACATCGGTATACCGATCAATCTAGTCCGGTGACCGGCACCGGTCGTCAAAAATCTATCAAACACTTACATTTAATTTTCAATATTATTTATAGGTGAATATCCTGAAACATTAATTGATCCATCAATTGGTAATCGTCTTAGTATACTTCGTAATGCACTTGCATCATTTTTACTTTTTACTACTGATTCAATTATTATACTTGCTATACGTCCAGTTTATCAATATCGTAGTCTATATGATCCATCATTACCATTTAATCAAGCGAAACAACGAGCATTAACTGATGTTATTTTTTATGTAGCATCATAAAAAAAAATGATATTGAAAATACATTAAATGTAAATCTTCCATTATTTTCATCACGTTATGATATAATAGCAAATGCAAGTGGACCAAATCCATGTACAAATTAGGTTTGTCCAATAGGTAAAAATGAAAATTTTCGTTTTTTTTTTCATATTATGATTTGATTTATTTGTTTTAGATACAATTTGTCGGCCAACACGTACTATTCAACCATTATCTTATTCAATTGATACAAATCAAACATCATTTGTTGGTATAAATGTTGTTGATTCAGTTGAGTGTGTTAATTCAACATATTCAATTAATTTTACAAATACACAATGTAGATGTATTACATATCCATTTAATAATTTAACATATTGTCCATGTACATCATTACAAACATATGCACCACTTGGACCATATTGTCAAGTACTTGGTACAACATTTAATGAAAATGGTGGTGGTTATGCTGTATTTGATGGAGAATTTGTTTTTAAATCGTGCACCAACACGTTTTTCATTTGATTTTGCTACACGACCACCAATAATTGATGGTTTAATTTTATTATATGGACGTCATATAACACTAATAAATGATTTTTTTGGACAGCAATTAAAATTTATCAATCAAGATTAAGATTTCATTTTCGAGCTACAATACTGGATGCAACAAGTACAACTCTAAATGCGTTAACATGGTATCATATTGAATATCAAGTCAGTGTTTTTTTTTTCATTTTTTGAAAACTTAATCTCAAAAAGGTTTTGTTTTAGTATATTGATTCAATAATTCTCGTTTCAATAAATGATTGTCAATATGTAACAACAGTTAATGATACATTAAATACATATGATTCATCAAGTTTTCAATAATACCTCGGTGGTTTACCAGTAACTAATTCATTAATTTCTGGTCTTTATCCATTATTAACACAAGTAGATACATTTAGTGGTTGTATAAGAAATGTTTTATCAAATGGTTATTATCTTGATAAGAGTAAAGCATTAGTATCAGTAAATTCTTATTATGGTCAAAGTTCGTGTACATTGACAAATCCATATACAACAACAACACGAACATCAATAACAACACCAACAACTACAGCTGGACGTGGTGTGTATTTCGTGACATTTCGATTTATTCAGAAGTTAGTTGCAGTAGTTTTCATAATGAACCTAAATTAATCTAAGACAAACGTTGAAAACGACAAAATAAGAGTTTATTGCACTAAACTCATAAAAATAAATA